CTCCCACGAACGCTTAAAATCTAGGCCACTGAGCCAGCATCCAATGGTGTTAGTGTCTAACTTCAGACAATCCATGATCTTGCTTGACCACCCACCATTGTCTTCAGCCAGTGACTACCTAACAACAGATTAGAAGTCAAGTGTTTGCACGAAAGACCAAAGATCCTGAGTTCGAATCTCACGTGTGGGATCTTGGATGAGAACTACTGAGGCGTCCCATATTAGGACGAAACTACCATCCACTGATTCCAGGTTTCCCATTGTGATGTAGTTTAAATCGACTCGTGGATTCAACCATTAAATTACTACAATCTCTACAAGCCCCCATTCTAATTATATATCAAACCATTGTTTTAAATTTAAGCCTTCCAAAAATTCAATTTTGATGCATTTTCCATTATAACATAACTATTATCTGCTGATAACTTTAACATCTATCTCATTTTGTCTACGTAAATGAATTCATTAGTAACTTCATGTTCTCTTATTCCACTTTAGATCATTTCTTAATTTAAAATAAGTCAATAAGGTATGTTATTTGAATAGATATGCCAATTTCTATGGAGTTTTGTTCTCTGAGCTGGATGGTTTGGTCATAGAGCTTTCATCGTCCTTCTGAACGACATCATCAGCACAAACTTCGGGTAGAAGTGAAGTGTTTGAGTTTCTCCACATGTGATCAACAAGAATCAATCAACATCGAACTGTACAGGACAAGCAGTGGACAGCATGTGGAGAAATTCAAACAATTCAATTCTACCTGAAGTTTATGCTGATTGATGTCGTTCAGAAGGACGATGAAAGCTCCACGACCAAATCATCTAGCTCAAAGGACAAAACTCCAGCAAAATCATCCACCCGAGCTACAAATCTTCTCCATCAATTCGGACATGTCAATTTTATTGAATTCACTTGAAGAGAAGTAATCACTGGTTTTGATATATATTGAATTTAACAGTAAAAAGAAAAAAATGAAATGAACAAATCAATGTGGCTTATCATGTATTATGTTCTCTTTGGTTGCGTGTTATGCTATTAAATGTAATGATGAATAAAAGTTTTTATAGTCTAATATCAAAGATAAGAATATATTGGTTATTTTTTAAAATGTACAAAGCTCATTCATGTATTTCATCTTCATTACAAACTACTGATTTATGATAATCAGTATTATATCTCGCTGAAGATGTAATTTTCGTTTTAGAAACAAAAACAAATACAATGGATAGAATATGGCTAGTAGTAAAATTTAGGATCTGCATTTCATTCCATTTGAGACTCGTCAGTTAGATGTATATTTACCTGTATTATTATTCATATTAGAACTCAGATCTAGTACATTTAGCTTTAAAGTCCTAATGTGTTATTGATTTAACTGCTTAATCCAGTTAGTCACAGCCTTGTACAATGAGTATGGATTTTAATTTGATTCATGGTGATTCTTGGATTATTCCATTATTGGTATTGTTGACTAAATTTCGATCAGTCCTAGTTGGTTTACATACATTTTATGTGAATTGCTTCGAGATAGTCGCTACGTCAAAAGTTTATGTAGAATAGATGGAATGTATCTAACAGTGTAATCAAAGATAATCCGAAACCACTATAAATTGAAACAAAACTTGTACCCTTTGAACAAATTAGTTATTAATTAGACACAGCAGCTCGGAAGATAATGTAGTAGCTTTTGAAAAGATAGGCTCTAAGTTCAATTTTCAATTCAGAAGCCAACAATAAGATGTAGGTACCTCCAGATGACGAGTCAGGAATATGACGAAACGAGCGTATTAAAATCCATTATCAGGAATAATCCATCTAGTCTTAATATTTAACATATTTATACAAACACGCGCTTAATTATTGGCTGAAAAACTTTAATATTCACTTGGTGTTGTTTACTTGTATCTTCCCATTGTTATTTAGGACTGCAATTGATCAGTCTCTTGTTGGCATATGTGCATACTGTGCGTATTGCCTCGATATTGCCTTAATTCACAAACATTATAAGCAAAGATGGATACTGACTAGCAGTGGAATCCACGACGCACGTTTCGTCCAATTTGGGACCCATCACATAGATGTACCTGTATCTCAGAGTTGATGTTCACTCTGGGACTCGAACCCAGTATCTTCCAACGTCATCACGTTATCCACTTAGCTACTGAGTCCTGATAGCCACTTTCTTTGTGCAATGTGGTGTATTAATCTGTGAGCTCTTTCTAATAATTCAAAAATATTTCTCAGTTACTTTCATATATCAATGAGAACGTTAAAGGAATATCATTGACATGAAATTTATCTATAAAAATTTAGTATCAGTCTTTTCTTTCATTAAGTGCTTATAATTAAGTTAAACTTATTACTTAGCTATTTATAAGTACTATATGCCTGTTAAAAAAAATAATAAAATAGATTCAGTGATGTGTAAAAACATCTCTTGTTTATTGTCTTAATTCTAATAAATGAAAAGGGAAAACATTGAATGGTTATCAAACAAATGAAAAGGTGCATAGGACTAGAGAGAGGGAGGGGGGAACATAAATATGGTTGGAGAGATGGAAAAATAAGTAGTCAATGAAGAACCGAATACCCTGTCTAACTGTTTTTGTAGGTTTATTATAATCCGATTAACTTCAACTATCACATTTTGTCATAAATAAATTCGATTGATCCAGATGCTTGACCCAGTAATGATAGAAATTGAGAACACGTGCTTCTGTAGGAGATAATTTGTATTAATAATTCTCCTTAAGTTGGTTAAGTTTGGAAATAAAAACATCAGTAATTTGGTGATTTTTTTCTTCTTTTCGTTAATCAGTCAATTCATGTTCTACAGTGACAATAAACACTAGTGAGTATTGCAAGGATTTCAATATTAAATCAGTTTATTAATTAATGCCCTGGTACGGCCGAGAGTGGGGAGGGCCCACCCTCTTTCTTGAAATGCTCTCACACGGCCATGCATATACAGCCACTGACAGGGGAGTCCTCCTCACTGCCTTCCCACCGCATTACTGTTGTTTAGGAAATTGAAATGACAAAAAGTAATTGTCAGCCGCTTTAGCCAGGTTGGCGGACACGCCGAGTCCACCTATGGGAGTTGGAAAACCCTGATTCTTAACCCACGGTGCACATGGAATCCATGATCTTGAAGAAACAAAAGGCGTATTAACCAGTCTTCGGTCACCAGCCATCATGAGACTGCATCTCCTAATGTTTCTCTACTACCTTGTGGATCAGACCTTTAGGTCGAAGGCTCCGGGTGTGGCCCCTTAAGAAAACCATCTTCTTCTGTTTGGGCAGCTGAGAAGTATCATAGCCCTCACACAGTTAAATGAAATGACAATTTTTTGTGTAGCACATACATATCTGGTACCCCATTGTACCAATATTTATGTGTTCAAATAAATAAATAAATAATTCTATTGTCTGAACTGATTTGTTTAGGGTTAAGCTGGGGAGGCAAAATCCGACTCACACGTCCTATTCGTGCCTCCTGAATCATGGGACTGTTTTCATGAACTAACGTGAGCGGTAGTCCGAGTGGTGGAGATTGGCCTAGTCAACCACTCTACCAATATCCCAGAACGATTACGAATGCTATAAAGAGTCATTGCATAACTATTGAGGGTTCAAAAGAGTGGTTACAACGATGAGTTTGCCCAAACAAAAACAAAAGGAAATGGGTTGTAAGTGTTATGTAATGATTCTGAGTAAGCAGTGCAGAAAAAGCTATCCCGCCCTGTTAGTTGTGCCGTGTTTTGATGTAGCATTCTTCTCCAGAAGAGCCTACTAGGCTTCACCATTCTATATGGCTGGACGGGACATTAAGCTGATAACTCGGAAAAATTCAATCAGTTTGAATGTTTTTCATTTATGTAATAGACATATTTGAATCATACATTGATTAAATGTACGTTTTAACTGAGCTTATAGTTGGATTCCTATAAATGGAATAAAAGGTTATAAAGTGTTTATTCCAGAGAATTCCTTATTCAATACTAGATTCAATTCAATATACATTTTCATCTCTTATTGGTATATCACTGCAAATTTTAAATTTTATTTAATTGTTATATTAATCTTATGATTTCATCGTTTATCAGGATACAATTTTTAAAATAGTACCCAAGTTTGTATTAGTTTTAGTGAGAATTTAAATGATTCTGTTATTGATATTCAGTACTAAATTTCGATTAATGTTTGTCGGTATATATACACTCTGTGTGGATCGTCTAAATATAACCGTCCCATTGTTAGTCACAGTCCATATATATTGTAAAATTTGTGACTAGATTGTTATATTGAGGCTATCTACCGATTGTATAAGTAAATAATAATCTAGAATCAATAGTTAAGTGGGTGACGCATTTGGTTCGAGTTTCCATGTGAATAATAACAGTGGAATACACGTATATTCAGTCGATTAGTCTCAAATAGTACCAAATGTGTATTCCAGATTCCACTGTTAGTCATAATCCATCCTTCTCATTTTAAAAAGCAGCTTTGTATTTAGTATATTTCAATGGATGTTGTTGTTGTTTTCTGTGAAAATCACTTTGAAATTTACCAGACAAGTATTTAATATAATTGAAATTATGAGTCATTTGAAGCTAGATCACCATGGGAAAATTGGAAGCAATGGGCGGCCGTGTCGTCCTATTGTGGGACTCTTCAACAGTGCATATTCATGATCTCTTCTCGCGGGATTCAAACTCAGGACCTACCAGTCTCGCGCCAGAACACTTAACCGATAGACCACTGAGTCGTCATCCGATAGAGGTCTAGCTCCAATTGACTCATGATTTCAACTATGAAAATACTGAAATCTCCACAAAACCCCATTCTGATTATATAATATAAATTTATCATTAAAAAGAAAAGAAAAGCGTAGTTTAATAAGTAGTAAATGTCTTTATATCTTATATTAAATAACCATAATAGTTATATAACAAAAGTATTAAAATTCATTACATTTATCTGAGAGTTCGACAAGTGAAATGATCAAATTACATAAGAATATAACTAAGCTTTTAACAAGAAATAGACATATATATCTGTTTATATGCCTAACGAATACACATGCTTTGTATATTGAAGAATATACTACTGCTACTACTACTACTACTACTACGACGACGACGACGACTACTACTACTACTACTACTACTACTATTACTACTACTAATAATAATAATGGTACACCCACTTCATACTTCACACTTTTACTTTACACCTATTCATCAGTAAAAGGAAATAATAAACAATAATAATAACCATTATTATTACATTTATAAGCTTCGAAATAAAATCAGTATACATGTGTGTGTGGGTGGGTGGGTAAATGTATAAGTTTAGGGTTGATAATGGTTAATCTATGAATTATATATAGTGTGTATAATAAATATGGAACCAAACTATACTGTATTATTGTTATTATTATATTTAGGCGTCGAATTACATTGATGAAGTAAATAGATAGTTATTAAAGAGGGAAAAAGACAAAGGAAAGAAAGAACAAAGGTGTTATCAATTCAATGTATAGGGAAGTTTATAGAGATTGTAGAATGTTTATAATTTAAATTACAAAATGGTCTTATTTACATCATTATTATAAACTTGGAAGTAATGGAAAATCGTTTCGTTGTAGTATTAAACAATTCACCAGCGCACATCCATAAACCAAACTCAGGAAGTCAAACTCAAGACACCCAGTCTCCTAAGGGAACACTTAGCTTCTAGACTATAGCTCTTGAACGTACCAGTGTAGAAGTCTGATTTACATCAATCCACGATGTTTGGCGACCATCTTCCGTTGTTCTCGGTGGATAACTCTCATACACTTCATGGTTGAATTAGACGACTGGTAGCATCTTCTCATTGGAACTCCAGAAATCACAACCTGAAGCTAGTTCTTCATGAGTATATGATTTTTGTTTGCATTGAGGGGAGTTATCGTAAAGACTAGGATTTTTACGGAAAGTTATCCATCATGGATCTTAAAAAATTGATTAAAACATTGATTAAAGTTAAACACGTACACTTTTGGATTACGACTTATTGATTTAGTAATTAAACATTCGCTTGCGAAACCGATGGTCTTAGGTTCGACTCCCTGTGTTAAGTTCATAGTTGCACACTGCTAAGGAGTTTCATAATTAGAGGAATCACTTGTCCAGTGTTCCCTGGTTTTCAATCGTGATCTAGTTAAGATCATTTCGTGATTTGAACTATCAGTGTATATATGTGTTCCCTTATGGTAAATGTTTCAATTAATATATGAAAATACATATATTAATTAAGGTGAATAAGGTAAAATACTACTGACTTTCTGTTTCAGAACTAGTTTTCTTCATTAGAGTAAATATTTAACTAATATAACTAAAAAAAGATTCCCAGAAAGTGTTTGGTGTTTAACAAAAGACTGTGATAATTAACATTTCTATACTGTGTATTCGCTGTATTTTTTGAGAATATTTTTTAAAAGTTTCTCTTACTAATATGGATGTTTCATAGTTGAAAGCGTGAGTCAATTGAAGCTAGATCATCATGAAAAACCGGGAAGCACTGGACGGCCGTTTTATCCTGTTGCGGGACTCCTCAGCAGTGTGCATCCACTATCCCACCTCGCGAGATTCGAACCCAGGACCTATCAGTCTCGCGCGCGAGCACTTAACCTCTAGAACCACTGAGCTGACCGGTATCAAACTGTGTTAATATCTAACTTCAACCAGTCTACGAAATTGAGCAACCGTCCCACAATAGGACGAAACGACCGTTCAGTGCTTCCAGGTTTTCCATGGTGGTCTAGTTTCAATTGACTCATGATTTCAACTATGCTACTTATGTTGACTGTTATAAGTAGTATGTAATACCAATCAGATATGGGATGCCTAATAGTAGAAGGTTGAGAAAATCAAATTGAGGAGAACAGGAATGTAATTAGAGAGTAATTGTAATGACAACAGGAACGAAGGAACAATAAAGCTTTTAAGAACAATTCGAAGATGAAGTGCAAATGATGTATTTGATGTATAATTTTCACATTTTACTAAATCACAATGTGATTGTGAATCAAACAATAAATTAGTCATCCTCAATGAAGTACTCTATCACTACGCTACGCCACATTCACTACACACTCTACTCTCATTAAAGCCATTTGTTTTCCAACTAATCACAAATAATTTATTATACACATAAGTAATTAACTTCAGATTGGGTTTCAGCTATGCTCATTGAGTAATCAAAGACAGGACTTTTCTACGAGAATGAATGGTGTTAGTAAGACTTTATCATCGTTTTTAGCAGAGACTGGTTCTTCATTTATTTATTTGCTACAAGAATTGTGTCGGTTACAAGTATTTGTTAAGTTGTAAGTGATAACATAATATTATCAGAATGGGGATTTGTAGAGATTGTAATAATTTTAATAGTTGAATTCATGAGTCGATCTAAACGAGATCGGACAAGGTAAAACCGAGTTTCCTAAGATATATGAGGATGATAAATCCTATGAGGACAGTCAGTCAGAAACAAGGTCGTCAAGATGACTTTGTTTCAAACTTGTGGAATTAGTACAAAGCCTATTGTAGTGTTCAGCATTTGATAGGTTTACGTTTAGCTAGAAGGTATTTTGTATGCTGGAGGAGTATGAGGAGTAGTATGTGGGAAAATCTGAAAAAGAAAAAAACAAGAGAAAAAGTGAGCCGACGACTCAACAACCACATAGAATACACTTACATTTTATAATGAAAGCGATTAACAACAATCAGAGATAACATAAACTTTGTTTAAAGACAATCTGATAATGGGAACTCGAAGTTGATACATTAAGGTTTCCAATACGTCACATAACCTCAAAATAGACACTTATGATGTGATTTACAAGATCAACTAAGTTTTTCAATTTTTTTAAATGTTTTACAATGTGTTCTGTTAAGAAATACTGATAATGTTCAGAATAAATAGAGTTAAATTAAGTGATCAGATTGTTATTTAATTTGCTGAAAGCATGAGTCAATTGAAGCCAGACCATCATGGAAAACCTGGAAGCACTGGACGACCGTTTCGTCCCATTTTGGGACCCCTCAGCAGTGCGCATCCACGATCCCGCCTCACGAGACTCGAACCCAGGACCTATCAGTCTCGCGCGTAAGCGCTTAACCTCTAGACCACTGAGCTTGCCGGCATCCAACGGCGTTAATGTCTAACTTCAACTAATCCACGAAATTCTGCGACACATCCACCATTGTCTTCAGTGAGTTTCTATCTCACAACAGACCCGGTCGAACTACACTGATCACTGCTTCTCACTAGAACTTCATGAAATACCTCTTGAAGCCAGTCACTAGTGAGCATATGTTGATTAATATCAGAAGAGGTTTTGTGGATATTGACTCATGATCCCAACTATTGACATCACTATAATATCTACAAAACCCCTTCTGATATTTTTATTTTTGTTGTATTACTATTATACTGATTGTAACATACAGAGTGTTTGAATTTTCAAGTTTATTATCCCATAATTGAATTCCTTAACAAGTCATTTTATCCTCTTTTACACTTGCCGTTCATTTCATCCATTCCAAATATTTGATTATTTGGTGCACACCTAACAACGATTGACCATTACATCAGTCTATTCATCACACAGAACAAACTATGTAACATTCTTACTCCCCATAAAAATTTTACACAGTCGGGCTGTTAAATAATTTAATATGAAATCTATTTCATCCTAAAACATTTTGTATTCTGTTTCCTGTATCTCACTATCAAGTTAGTCTAGTTACACCACGATATTAGCCCAAAAGTATATGATATTGAATCAGATCAGAATATCTAACTACTGGTAGTCAAATAAATCAACTGACGATCATTAAAACTTTCACAGGCTGAATTCAGTAAAAAACACATCTGATATAATAACTAAACAAATTCCACCGACTAAGAGGAGAAAATGAAAACACTGATAATTACTCATCAGTGTAGGGTTGCATAGATTGTTGGGTTTCAGTGAAATCATGGGTCAATCAATATCGAGCCACCAATGAAGACTTGAAAGCACTGGATGACCGTTTCGTTCTAGTATGGAACTCTCCAGTAGTGAGCGTTCATGACCCACACACTGAGCTCAAACTCAGGAAACTCGGTCTCTCGCGCGAATGCTTAACCCTCAGGCCATTGAGCTGACATCCAATGGATTAGATGTCTAACTTCAATTAATTGAGACCAAACGCCCTGGGTTTGATTCCCGCGTGAGGGGCTGTTATTGTACCATAGTGGGATGAGATGGCCGTTCAAAGTTTATAGGTTTTTGATGGTGGTCTACGATTGATCTATTCACGGCTTCAGTGAAACTAACAAATAGATATTTTAAAAATATTGCTTTATAATGGTGATTTAAAGGTACAATTACAATAATTTGCCGTTTATGTGGGTGTTATATCTAGAGCTTTATATTCTTGCTACGCCTTGTACTACTAGACTACTTGAACAATCGAACCCGAAAAGTCGCAAGAGAGAAGATAGAAGACTAGTAAGTAGGAATGCCATTCCCAACACAGTGTTAATTATGGTACAAAATTTTCAGGTATTTATAGTTTTTAGTAAAAACGAAATCATCATTATATTTATTCAATCCACACACAGGGGGGTTGTTAGCATTTGCCCAATAAGGAAGTTACATTTAGTGATTCTGGAATATTCTTCTAAAAGCTGATTGGATGGAATATATTCGGCTATTTCTGAGCTTCTTAGAGCTTCCTCACGTTCACCTGTGGACCGTCCTCACAACGAGATAACACAATAATACTATATACTATATTAGATAAACAAGATAATCACCAGGTCACACTAAACAACTATACTAGTCAGATGCACAATTCACAACTGATCATTAAGAACTAGATCACAGAGACAAAGCAGTTAGTTTCCCCATAGTAAATTTAGAGTAGGAATCACATTTACAATATTAAGATATCGATTTATATTACTGATTATGAACTACTTATTTATTTCCGTTCACTGACAAATCTCTAGGCAACTATCATAAAACATATCAGACATAGTTGAAATCATGAGTCAATTGAAGCTAGACTATTATTGAAAACCTGGAAGCACTGGACGACCGTTTTGTCCTATTATGGAACTCCTCAGTGCTTCCAGGTTTTCCATAATGGTCTAGCTTCAATTGACTAATGATTTCAACTATGGAAATACTGAAATCTCCACAAAACCACTTCTGATTATATCAGACATAGTT